AAATTGAACTCCAGAACACACACACACACACACACACACACACACACACACACACACACTGCTGATGACATATCCAAGATGATTTATTTCAATTGAAGGTATATTATTTTCCCATTAATTCACACAATCCTATAATAACATTGAAAATATGAATGGTGTGATTGGATGTTCAATGTAGTAAATGCAGTGTTGTGATTTCTAGCTTTTCCTCCCTCTGGTAGAAACACACACACACACACACACACACACACACACACACACAGAGGGAGAGACAGAGACAGAGAGAGAGGAGACAGACTTATTCATTAACTCAGTTTCAGAAGATATTGGTGACTGAATATTCTCAAATTTCTCTGTGTTAAAGTATTTCTTTCTAAAAAATACAAAAAAATATGCCCAATCAAGATGAAAGCATTTCCCCAATTCTAATATCATCTTGTGTCTTATATGAATCTTATAAACAGACTACCACCTGTTTGCCTGAACATGAAGAACTATCTCAAGTTCACAACTGCCCGACTGATCCATTATCATGCATTACTTGCATATAATTTACTGTCTCCCTCTCTCTGCCTCTGCATTTTCCATTCCACTAAAACTGTTGGCTAGAAAATATTCCCTAATAAACTTATTACAAATATCTTTGATAGAGTTTGTGTTCTTGAGAACCAACTTACAGTAATAAATATGAAATTACTAATAATATAGAGAAAATTACTTGCGATAGATTCCTCAGAGTCATTTAGGTACTAAAAGATGGAATAAACACCAAAATAATTTAATGGTTTATTACTTGTTTTTTTCTTTTTCTGATTATTATTGCTACCTTCATTAAGAAAATACGTAATATGACTATTTTCAAGGTAAAATATTAGACCTTTTTACTTTCAAATGTTTGAATGTTCAAAATAATCCTTGATGTAGGTGTTGGTAGATAAATCTTCCTTTTATAAATTAGAAAATCAGAAAAATGTAACTTCTTGTGGCCACTCAGAATGTTTTTTTAATAATATTTATTATTTAACTTTTTACACATATTTCTCCTAGTTCCCTCTCCCTCCCCTCCTCCCCTAGCCTCCCAACTCCCCCAACCCCCCACCCTATTCCATTTCCCCTCCACTCCCCAGGGAGGGTAAGGCCTTCCATGAGGGATTTTCAGAGTCTGCCATATCAGCCAGGGCAGGGCCTAGGCCCTCCCCCATTTGTCCAGGCTGAGAGAGCATCCCTCCATGTGGAATGGGCTCCCAGAGTTCGTTTGTATGCCAGGAATAAATACTGATATGCTCTCCATGGTCCCATAGATTGCCAAGGTCTGCTCTCTGACACCTGGCCTCTCAGTCATCAGTCTGGGATCCATGCTTTCCCTCTTGTTTAGGTCAGCTGCCTCTGTGGGTTTCACCAGCCGTGTTTTATTCTAGTTTAATTTTATATTAAATTTTAAGCTGTCTGAAGGCAGGATGGACACCTGTGAAGAGTGCTATTACCCACCTTGTAAACTGCCAGATGAAATTATTTCCTAATTTATTCTAGTATAATAAAATCTGAGGAGTCAGAAATTGAAATAAAGACTGGCAGAATCAAAGGAAAGCACAGCAATTAGCCAACCATCTCTCTAGTTTCTCCTGAATGTCCAGTACGGCAAATTCCTGGTTTTCCTATCATAACTCCCCTTTTTCCTTTTTCCTTTAGAAAGAGATCTTTGACCTTGGCTCTTTTGTTTAGCTTCTTTTTTTACTATGACAGATAGCAGCCTTTAGTCAACCATCCCCAAAACAAGGACAAATAGCCATGATCCATCGAATAACCAAAACCTACCAATAACCCATCTCTTGGAATATGGGAGTCATTACTAGATTACTTCCTACTGTTGCAGGCACTGGGATCTTTGGCAGAACTTTGAGAAAATCAGCATAATTGTTAGGTCTTGGCTAGAGTGTTTGTAAGGCCAGATTATCTCAGCCTGTTGTGAAGCTGTTTTGGGTGCAGAATTCTGAGGAGACTATAACAGGCATTCTGAGATGTTGGAACACCTGGGCCATCCATTTTTATTAGTGTCTTGTCTCCTTGCCCTGACAATACATAAACTTTTAAAGATACTATACATGTCTGTATTAATACCAGTGTAAAATGTATACTCTACACAAGCTAGCTAAAGGTGGTTTTTGCTTTATGTGTTTTTGTTTACCTAGGTTTATTTATTTATGTCCATAGCCCAGATTTTCAGGAATTTTTCCCCAATCAAACCTGATCAATATCAACCTGTAATGAACTCATAGCCACTTATTCCTGTGGAAGTAAAAACATAACTTCTTTCCCAAAGTAACATATCTTTTGACTTCCATTTTGTAGTCAAGGCATTTTAAAAATATCTAGTTTGGTTTAATAAAGAAGTTTTATAATCTAATGTGTCTTATCAGCTGTTGTTCCTTCATCTGCAATGGGAAAATCTAAAGATGACACAATGACATACAAGATCCAGACTCTGTCCAGCACTCAGGAGACTGAGGCAGGCAGACCTCTATGACTTTGAACCCAGCCTGGTCTACAAGAACTAGTTCCAGGACTGGCTCTAAAGCTACACAGGGAAGCCCAGTCTTGAAAAACAAAAAACAAAAAACAAAAACAAAAGAAAACAAAAAAGATTCAGACTCTGTGTATTTCCCAACTCTGTGTGTCTTATTATTTTTATTTTACTTTACTCATTTTATGGACTTTATTAATTTTTAACTATTTTTTAAATCTATGACTGTGCTTACATTATCTCTTATCTCCCTGAAGCCTATGTATAACTTTAAACACACTGTAACCCACTTAGAGGTTTGCTTTTTCTCTCTGGATTTGTCTTTACTGGGTATCTGCATTCTTCTTTGATCAAGTGAGATGAATCTTAAAATTCTATGTCAGTTTAGTGGCCCTGCTCAGCGTAATTAATGGAGCTAGTACATGGTGATTGGTGGCTGACTTCATCCCACAGGCAGCTACCAGGAGACCAGTCTCTGTACTCCTGCAAGCATGAGAGGCATATGACTAGGAAGCTGCATTTGGCTCTGTTTTTTTTTTGTTGTTGTTGTTGTTTACAACCTTTTAAAGCTTTCTGAGGTCTTATGTGGATGTTGGTGCTGGATGTTTGGGTGTCATTTGTAGGCAGACATTTAGGTACCCCTCACCAGCCAGTTCCCATATAATTACACAGAGACATTATTATAAGTGCTTAGCCAATAGCTTAGGATTGTCCCCAGACAGCTCTTACAACATGAATTAGCACATTTTTATTTATCAATTTGCTGCTCTAAGCTCAATTACCTCATATATGTATTTCCCATCCTTCTCACTCTGTGTCTCGTTCTTGATCCTGCCCTTCTTCTCTCTTCACTGAAATCCTGCCTAACCATCAACTAATCAGCTTTTTAATAACAATGAGAGCAATGTATTTCCACAATGTACTGAAGGATTATTCCACAGCACCATCGTATGCAGCGTCAGCTTCAGAAGTAATCAATAATACATATCACACTAATAAATGTGTGCTTCAAATCTTTGACCACCATATTATTCACTCCTATGCTGTTATTTCCACTGTGAGCTCTACCTTGGTGGTATCAAGAACAACACATTCCAAACAAGAGGAAATAATTTATTTAACTATGTATTTCCTATTTAAAAATTAAGAGAGATATTTTATTTTGTATATTTTTTGTGATAGAGCCACTGTAGCTATAGGTACTAGATAATGCACTAGAAGATGAACATTAAGGAGCCTGTGGGATTCAGTTGTTTAATCTATGTATCTTTACTAGATTTGTATGTTTGAAGTGGTAACATGTCCAAGGAGGAAAATAACAATTTACCAAACTGTGCAATTAAAGTAATATCAGCAAGTTTTCCATCCACCTTGTTTAATTTTATAGGCAACTCATGTAGAAACAGAAATGAAGAAACAAATCACCACAGAATGCCTCACTTAGTTTACTTTAAACTGGCAACATTGTATACACACCTCAAAACCTTCAATTGTACCCTATATGTATATAATTATGATTTTCCTATAAATAATGCCAGTAAGAACAGAAGAATTATTGGCATTATCACTCTTGATTTTCCAAAGTCTCCTTCTACTGAAAACAGAAGAAATGAAAACTATTTTTCTCATAGTGTCAACAAGCAGAACCCATATGCCTAGCACGTGGTTGCATTTGCCTACAGGAATTAAAGAGTGGCCAAAATTGACCCTCTTCTGCCAATAGAGTCAATGCTTTGGCTAGCATCTTTTTTCCCCTTTTAAAATTATGTTAGAAACAAGCTTGCTTCACATGTTACAGCCAGCTCCCTCACCCTCCCTTCCTCCCCTACTCCCTTACCAGGCCCCCAGTCCCCTACCCAATCTCCACTCCAATCCTCAGGGCGGGTGAGGCCCTCCATGGAGGATCTCCAGAGTCTGTCATTTCATCCAGGGCAGGGCCCAAAGTAAGACTAAAAAAGAGACATTTTGATTCCATACAGATCTTTAAGATTCTTGAGAGCAGGAAGATGGTATGCAATTTGGCCTGCTTTTGAAAGATAATTGTCTCTAAAAATCTAAGAAAACCATGTGCTGAAATTTCTTCCATTTTACTGCTATCCTTTCATGGTGGAAAAACTCCTTAAATTCTTGCTTACTATTTAGGTGCAAGAAATCTGAGAATTATGTTAACTCTCTAGGTACATTGTTAAATTCATGTATCCATGAGTAAGTAATGACCTTTTGTACTTATCCAATAAAACTGTAGAATTCAAATTTATACTAGCTAAGCTGTTTTCAAAATGCCTCTTTTTGATTAAACTGATAATTTGGTACTGTTGGAGTTTTATAATACTTCAAAATTTAATTTCATAGAGCATTCTAGTGTGTTTTTTTTTCTCACACTCATTGAGAGCTTCAGGTCTACACGCAAAGTTTTGGAGGTCACCTACTTCTTCACATGCTTTTGTAAGATGATTTTTCTTTTCTGTTTCTTTCCCAGTCTACATACCGGAATCGAACCATGAGCCAAAGTCTCAGCACAAGGGACAGAAAAGCAATACATACTCCCACCGAGGACCGTTTTAGACACTCCACAGTTGACCAGACAAGTCCCTACAAGAACATCTATCAACTCCCAGGTCTATGTCTAAGCAATTTCTTGAAGGACAAAGAACTAGGAGGAGTTATGAAACATTCAAGGGGTACTTACGAAGCCATCACCTCAGAAGTGACACAGAACTCGAGGACCACTGTGGGACCAAGCATTCTGAAGCCAGCAACGAAGACAGAAGGACTCTCCATGACCCTGGAGAAACCAAAGGAACCAACATCTCTATCCCGACAGCACTCGACCTTCACAGGCAGGCTTGGACAGCCACCCAGAGGACCTATCTCCTTACACACATACAGCAGGAAGAATGTTTTTCTCCACCACAATTTACATACCACAGAGTTTCAGACCCTGGGCCAGCAGGATGGGTAGTTAGGTCCTTACCCTGTGAACATGTAGATGGCTACTGCTCCATGTGCCATGTAAGAGTGGTCATGTCCATTTTACTTGTTTCATTTTTAGCTGTAAACAAAGACTTTTTTATTTTATTTCCAAGGATGACGGTTTGAGTATGTTGACTTACTAGGTTGGATTGTGCAGATTTTGATCTCTCTATAGTAATACACATGTATAATGAGTGGAATCACCTTGCTGTCTGACATAGTATATAAGTTATTTATATTTTTTTCTGTATCACTTGCTGATATGCATTGAGATTTCAGATGGTAATGTCAAATAGCTCTCTGTTTATGGTGTTACTATAAAGTAGGTTAGAGGAATGAGTATAGAAAGGAACTGTACAGGTTTAGTTTAAATAGTTGCTAGAAAGAGCAGAACAAACTAAAACTTATAGTAGATGGTGTGTTTCTTAGTGGAATGAAGCTTGTGTGCATGTAACATGAGACATCTTTGTCTCTCTATTACATACATTCAAGCTTATGGAGCTATTGGGAGGGAAGGACCATTTCTTTCGTTTTGAAGTGTTTAGTTACACTAGTTCACAAAGGATAGAGAGCCACAGCTCTGCACTTTACAAAACATTGTGTTTTTTTTTTATTTCTACTGTTATATAAGTTTCACAGAGTCAGCTAAAATTTTCCAAATGGCACACTTTGTGGGTATTGTCATAGATAAATGAGAATCCTTTTTCTTTAAATTTCAAGGGTTTAGTATTCTAAACAATATATATTCTTTTACTTCACTTTCTTTGTATTTTCAAAATATTCATTTATTTTTATACGCATCTAGGTTTACTTTATACTCACTAACCTATGGTGTTTTAGTTAATAATGAGAAAAGCCCCTTATCATTTTGTTTTTTGTAACAGATACATAAACTCTGGCTATGCACTCTACTAGATTTGCAAAAGAAAGTAAAATATGTGAACTTTGGCCATTTGATCTGTGAAATAAATCACTAACGAAAATGCTTCAATCTCATTTGGTGACATACGTTAGTCTTTGACATGTGAGGTCTGATATTTTGCATATTTAAGTGCATAGGAGATAGATTAAGAGAACTAAATAGAAAGATCATGTTTGTTTAGTAACAGAAGAATATCAAATGGCAGTTGCCTTAGGGAAAGATCAGGGCTAGTAACTACCCATATTCAGTATGGTGGGTATATTGAAACTGTTAAACCTACTGCATGTCCTGTTTTTCATGCATTCTCTAACAGACAGTCCCCATCAGCATGCACAAATGAGATGAACAAATGCGAAATGACAAGGTAGTTCTAGCATGCCATCTGACAAAGCTGTTAAAGTTAAACCTACCCCTAATATGCATCACCTAATAGGAAAATGGATTTGAACTCTACCCTTTGGGGAGAACCCTGAGATGCCTGTCCCAGCTTTAACTACTGAAGTTTGGCTATGTTGTACTTATTTTATTTTGCTGACGAAGACATACATCATGCAAATTTTCTTTGGTGTTTGCTTCACGCGTGTGTTTATAATTCTGTTTAAGATTAAAAGATACTCGAGCTTGCTGCCTAACATTTCCAGCATCTTCTAGAAGCTGCAAAAGTCATGTAGATGTGCATTATGAGCTGGACAATATTTGTGAAATTATAAGAAAAACGTTAGTTGTATAATTCAGCTTGATTTGTACTGAGAGTTGGTTTCTATTCTTAGAATATTTTAATCTTGTAAATACCCAAGCACGATAAACAAAACCTGTTTGTTTGCTTGTTTTTTTCTTTTTTTTCCCTACCAAAATAGGGAAGAATATGTAAAGAAATAGGTAATGTTTTTAAGTTGCATTTTGAAGCTTATGGTTATGTTTTCTTGAAAGATAGCTTTTGAATTATTCTTTGTAAGAATTAATCTATTTAAAAAATCCTGTCATTTAATAGACATTTTAAGAGATGTTTTAAACACTAGTATTTTCTTGACAAACCTTTTTTAAATGGAAACATTCAAAAAGAAACCCTGCATTAACCTGTTCAATTTTGAAAGGGAGGGTATTTTTGGAATGATCACTTTGAGACTGTTTTGTATCAGTATTTTCATCATGGTTCCAGTTTCATTAGTAATACCCAGTGTGACTCAGGCATGGAGAAGTTGTAAGCCGACTGTGTTAATGCAGGTCAATAACAATGGCTTGGGGTTCTGTTCAAAGTTCCTTCATGTGGCTATCCTAAGTCCTAACAACCTTGTGTGGGCATTCTTTCAGAGCACTGATTTCTTTGTACTAAAATCTCTAGTTTTCTAAGACTGTTCCACATATTAAATGGTTTTCTACATTTCTCCAAGGCGGGACATATCCAAAGACATGATGCCAGGGAAAAAGTGCTTGTTTTTCTGATGAAGCAATGGTCTCCTCCTTTTTCTTCTTTGCATGTATTTGTGTAGGTAGCTTGAATAACCATGTAACACTTCTGCTGCAGACTTTTCTCAACATAGGAAGAGTCATTCCTTGTCTACCTGAAATAAATGATTCCCACTTTTGTAAACACTGGGACACTAAGCTTTCTTTCTATCAAGTCTGTGATTGTTTTGCTTTTCTAGACTTTTTATATGCTAAGACTTAACAAAGAACCAACCATTCATCAACTACAAGATGATCTCTACTTCTCTGTGGCACCCTCATCTTTGTCTTAATGATGCAATGAAGTAATTGCTGTCATGGTATAACAGTCAATCAACCACTATCAATGAGGTTGGGTAAGGGCTTTCTTTTATTTTTGTCTTACTTTTATACAAAAAAAATAGGATGATAGTTAATATGAAATAATTTCAGGAAATGGCATGCAAAAAGTCACTTTATGCAATATGTTTACAGAGGTTGTCATGAATAATCTGGATATCCTTCCGGTGTATTTATGCTTGTATATTCTGAGATTTAACCCCAGGCACCTGCTTCTACTTTCATTGTGGCTAACTCTTCATGAGTTGGAGGAAATTTTTGCATTTTTTGTTTTCTTTTACTTTTATGTTCATTGGACACATTATTACTTATTCCCTGCTTCCAAAAGAATCAAGACCCTTGCCCCCATAATTACACAATTAAAGATCATATTACAAAGTAATAGTCAACTTTCTATTGGCTTTCCCAGTAATTTAGGTGATAAACCAGCAAGGGCAGTTTATTAACTTGTGAGTTCTATTTTCTACATCATTTGTCATTACATTATCAAGTTTCTTAGAAATACGGTTATCCATAGATATAGCTATGTAGGAGTACCAAGCAAATCTCCTTTGGCTTTAGAGTTTTGTTTAGTAATTTATCGTTTCTAGCACCATCTTTATCTACCCACATTGGATACCTCTGTTCAAAATTTAATTGTTTTATCCTACCTAATATCATATTGTTTTCTGCATTTCTCAAAACTTTTTAGTTTGGTTGACCCTTTGATTTTTCTCATTTTCTTGCCAATCTTATCCACTTAAATTTCACAATGCTCAGTCACATTATTTTCTTGTTTAAAAGTACTATTTTCTAGCCAATTTTTTCAATATAAAAATATATGGTTTCCTCAATGTTATTTCTCTCTCATACACTCACAGAGACATACATACACACACACACACACACATACACACACACAGAGCACATTTTGAATTTTCTAAGATGATTGTAAAATGCTTAAAGACTCATTGCATGGCCTATATTCAGACATAGAAATTGAAAGTACACTCAGGTTGTAATGAAAGCATGCCCCAACAGCCAATAAGTAAACTTCTCCAACTGTCTATATGATTTCACAATTTCAGAATAGTGATGTTTCTTTGCCCTGTTCTTTTAGACAATGAGATTTCAAAAATGAATTTCATAATTACATGCAATGACTGTCCTAAATAAAGAATGTGATCAATCATTTTATCATTTAGTGAAAGTTACTACAGTGTATTCTGATCAGGCTTCTTCTTCCCTCAGTCTCTACCCATTTCCTACACATTCAGCTCCATGTATTCTCTGGATGGAGGCTTCTGTCCCGCCCAGTCCTGCAGCCATTTAGTACCAAACTAATGGACAGAGGTTTACATTAACTAAAAACTGTTTGGCTAATGACTTAGGCTACCTATTGACTAAATAATTCATAATTATTAACCCATTTCTATTAATCTATGTATCTCCACATGGTCTTGGCTTACCCAGTGATGCCTGGACTTCTTGCTTTCTTGGCAGTTAAATAGTATCTCTCTGATTCTTCTGGCAATCTGTCTCTGTCTCTGTTTACATTTCCTGCCTGGCTATATCCTTCATGTCCATTGGCCAAAACAGCTTTATTCATCAACCAATAAGACAAACATATATCCACAGCATTCTTTCACTCTCCAATTAGAAAACAAACAGGCAAATAAACAAACAAGCAAGCAAATACTACCAACCATCACCAACAACAATAATGATAAAAAAGCACAAAACACACACACACACACATATATATGTATATATATATATGCACACACAAAACCCATAAAAATCACAAACTTGGATACCATAATATAAAAGCTAAAAACTAGTAAGACTTAATAAAAAAAAACCCAAGAAAAGCAATATGAGACAAAAATTTCACAAAATCATCATTGAGTTTGTTTGGTGGGTCATCGTATGCTAGGCATGCGGCCTGTAAACCTATTGAGACTCCATTGGAGAAAATTAATTTTTCCTTAATATGCAGTTATCAACTGGAGACAGTTTCCTGGTTAGGGATGGGAGCTTGTATCTACATACCCCTCAATGCCTTGAGATTCCATCAAATCTGAGTCATTGTCTTGATTAAAATTTGTATAGGTCTTTCAATTATAAAACAATAAATTCACATATTTGTAATTTAATATTATATATATATACAATTTTATCTCTTCTAGATAATCTCATGGCTATATAAAAGATCCTGTTATGATTTTATTTCTCTAACAGGTGATTACTCTTCTATCTGTTATATAAAAGGTAAAATACACATCACAGAGTTAAATATCAAAATAGTGTGACAAGAGAAACTGAAAATCAATTCTTTAATAATAAAAAACTCAATAACAAATTTAACACAGAAATTTAATTTGAGTTGTTAATATAGCCAAGTTTGATGATCAGAACATCATAGTACAGCAGACTACTCCCTTTGTTCCTAGTGTTACGTAGACTATATAAGTCATCAGAAAAGTGAAATGAATGCCTCAGTATGTGTAAAATACATATAAATGCAATATTGAATTCTGCTAGAAAATTGTGAAACATTATTATATCCCAGAAATTTGAGTTTGTGCCACAGGAACTGAATTGATCATTTTATTGCATTTTCACTAGTTATTTATATTGGCAACTACTCAAAGTTTGTCTTCACACAAGCAGAATGTAAAGCCTAAGCACATGTCCTCCTGATTCAAACATTTATAATTTAATAATACATGGCAAAGTCTTAGGAATATTTCTCAATCCCCCAAGAATGTCTTGTTTTAATTTCATCATAATGCTATTTTTAAAGGATATAGCTAATGGTACTATCTTGCTTTTCACTAGAAACTTGGAATTAAAAATTTTTGGTTATACTATGTTAAAGAAAATTCATTGTAGTAAGTAGTAGCATCCATAATCATCTGTGTGCTGTTGACAATAAACTGCATATTAATATATACTTGTCTCCTAATATGAAGGCAGATGGCTTATAAAATGTTTACAAAATGTAGTAGGTCAAGAAATAATATATATTATATCAATGATGACAAACTAATATCTGACTACCCAGTTGAGTTACATTAACCCTGATTTCAAACAGAGAATGGGTGCAAAAATATCCCTGGTTTTAAATAAAGCAGTCCAGGAGCGGAGCTAATAAACCTATTTCCACCATCTTATTCATAGAATCAGTAGCCTACATTAGATCTCCAAACAGTCATGTAACTATATTAAATTCTAGCTGGAATTATTTCAAGACACAATCTGATTTCATACTAAAATTATTTGTTTTATATCTTTCATGGAAAACTGAACAGCTATATTTACAAAGTCTATTTTTGCATTCTTGGGAAACAAGGATCAAATGGATGCAGTTCTGAATATTTATATTACAAGAGGTGGTCACTTTTCTGACAAATTCAGACTCATAAAAAATGGACACTGTGTCACTGTACTTTTAAGTATGGAAATAAACTGAAGATTTAGAATCTAGCTATATGATGTGCTCAGTTCAAATACCATATCTAATAGTTTCTTAAGTGTTAGTTTTGACATCTGTGGATAGAATCACAATAATACTGTCTCTTTAGAATTTTTGGAGATGAAAGAAATTGATATTTATAAAACCCAGGCATAGAACATATATTTAGTTGTTTCATCACTTAGGGTTTCAATCATAAACCACTCAAAATTGATATATATTTCTTATAGTAATTTACTTAATTCAGAACAATCAAACCATGAGCACTGATGATGCTGCCATAAGAGGCATTTTCTCCTCTAAAAATCTTCCCTAACAAGCTATTATAAAAAAATTCTATAACATCTAGAATAAAAGTTATTTGTGAACTTTTAAAGGATTCTCAGACAATGAGAAAATTTTCATAGAATTTTGCAATTTTTAAGGAGAAAAACTTGTATGCTATACCAAGTTTGGTTGATGTTTATCATTTGAGCAAATAATGTTATTGTCAAACATGTTCATCCTCCCAAATATCTAAAACAACCTTCAAAACTTTTGCACATCTAATGTGTTTTTAATTGGTATGTTACATTCCACAAAATAAAAAAAATCTTTTTCTACTTTACTACCCATTAAGAGAAAATGGTAATACTTATCAAAAAAATCCAATCCTTTTGACTCTCTAGTCTACATAATACATAAAAATGAAAAGAAACGTCTGCCCTAAACCAGTGTTAGTGAGTAATTACTGATGCCACTTGATTAACAACAATGGTAAATAAGTGCCCCAAATTTCAGAACTGAAATATACATTTTATATAGCTCAGCTTAAATTAAAAATGGCAGTTTTTACTGTGCCATACAGCAGGCTGTGCTGAAAAAGTTAGAATGCTCTCATTCTTTCTCTCCAACAATTCTTTAATGAACAGCAATCTTATAAATCACCTCCCATTAAGGCTTCTCACAATGGAAAAGCAAAGGCCTTAAAGCATCTATTAGTAGTAATTAAGTTTTAACTTCCACTGGAAGTTCTGATATTTAAAGTCCACATAGCCCCATGTTTAGAAAAAGATGAATAAAATTTGAGTGTAGGATTCACAGATAATGAGACTGCAATCATTCATAAGGATTATCTATACTTTAAATAAGTTTGCTTTTAGTTAAAAAGCACTGTTATTTTTAAGTAAACATCATGTAAGTTTATTGCTTCCACACAAAACCATACTTTTTGCATCGTTGTACAAGACATGTGTGTACTGGTGAGCCACCATCTACCAAGTAGTGTGTTTTGTGCTTATCATATAAAGAAAAAATAATAATCCATACATATGTGAAATGTTTTATATGTTTTATTTTAATTGAATAAA